CAAACATTGTGATATTTAAACCAGAAATGATTATGAATGTTTTCTGTGTCTGCTACATACTATATTCATATTCCTGGATGTTCATGGAAGCTGATTTCAATCATAAGCAATACAAATTAGTAATTAGTTTTTTTTTTTACATTTATATACTTGACTTTAGACAATTTTATCGATATTGAGAATGGTAAAACTTTAACTTGACCCTACTGGCAAAATTTGATTTGTAGCTTGATAGAACAAGTTCAATTAAAACTACATGTCTCTTTTTATAAGTAGCTATTAATGCTAAATGGATTTAGTTTTATTACGCAAACCAAAATAGATATTTTTTTGCTATAGAAATTTGAACCAATTTACAAAACCTGGAATTCTGTTTTTCCCAAAAGCCTCTATCTTCTTTTTCCTATTGAAGATTGAAAGGATGGCTTGGAACTGGAAGAATATTTATAGTAAAGTGGTGAGGACAGGGGCGGACTGACCGGTCGGGCACTTCGGACATGGTCCGAGGGCCCGGCCGGGAGGGGGGCCCGCCGCCATCAGGGGGCCCGGCGGCAGGGCTGGATTGGGGGCGGCACCTGGGGACTGAGGTGTCCGGCCGCGTTTCATGCTGGAGCCGCCGGGCCGGGTGGCAGCCTCGCCGGTCCGCCGGCACTCCTGTCCTCTCACTAACGCTGAGGAAGGAAGGAGGAGGAGCATGACAGAGAGACATGCTCCTCCTCCTTCCTTCCTCAGCGTTAGTGAGAGGACAGGACTGCCGCCGGACCGGCGAGGCTGCCACCCGGCCCGGCGGCTCCAGCATGAAACACCTGTGTCTCAAGTCAGACAAAGAGGGGGATAGGGAGGGGGAGAAAGAGGGAGATGGGGAGGGGAGAAGAGGAGAGAGAGGCACGAGGGGGAGAAGCTGAGGGGGAGCAGGGCTGAGGGGAGAGGAGATGAGGAGGGGGGGAGAAAGAGGAGGAGAGAAAGATGAGGAGGGGAGAAAGAGGAGAGGGAGACAGAGGAGGGGGAGGGGTATGCTTGAGGGAGAGGGAGATGAGGAGGAGGGGGGAGAAAGAGGGGAGAGGAGATGAGGAGGGGGGGAGGGGGGAGAAAGAGGGGGAGAGGAGATGAGGAGGGGGGGAGGAAAGAGGAGAGGAGATGAGGAGGGGAGAAAGAGGGGGGAGAGGGATGAGGAGGGGGGAGAAAGAGGAGGAGAGAGGAAGATGAGGAGGGGGAGAAAGAGGAGGAGGAGGGAGATGAGGAGGGGGGGAGAAAGAGGGAAGAGAGATGAGGAGGAGGGAGGAGAAAAGAGAGGGAGGATTATGAGGGGGAGAAAGAGGGGAGGGAGATGGGGGAGGGGAGAAAGAGGGGAGAGGGGAGACAGGGAGAAAGAGGGGAGAGGGAGAAAAGAGGGAAAAGGAGAGGGGGAGGGGGGGAGAAAGAGGGAGGGGGATGGGGAGAAGAGGAGGAGGGGAGGAAGAGGGGAACAGAGAGATGGAGGTGGATGCCGGGAGAAAGAGGAGGAGGGGAGGAAGGTGGGGAATAGAGAGATGGGGAGGGGAGAAAGAGGGGGGAATAGAGAGCTGGGGGAAGAGAGGGAAGAATGAGACACGGGGAGAATAGAGAGTTGGGGGAGGGGGGAAAGAAAGGGAAGAATGAGACACGGGGAGAAAGAGGGGGAATAGAGAGTTGGGGGAGAAAGAGAGGGAAGAATGAGACACAGGGGGAGAAAGAGGGGAAATAGAGAGTTGGGGGAGGGGGGAGAAAGAGAGGGAAGAATGAGACACAGGGAGAGAAAGATGGTGAGGGGGGAAAAAGAGAGACACACAGGGAAAGGGGGAGAAAGAAACAGTGGAAGAGAGAGAGACAGGGAGAAAGGAGAGAGACACAAGGGGAGGGGGAGAAAGAGGCAGAGGGTAAAGAGAGACTGTGAAGGAGAGGGGAGACAGACACAGGAGCAGTGAGGGGGAGAAAGAAACATACAGAGGGACGGGAGGAGACAAAAAGGCACACAGAAGGGCTGTATATATCACTGGTGGATCCAGGGGGCAACGGAGCAATTGACACCCCCAGCCCCTGTCCGCAGGCACCGTGCGGGCAGCCGGCAGGGGAGGGAGGAAGAGAGGACCCAGGAGCTCAGCCTGCAGCTCCTCTGGGCCCTTCTTGCACGAGCACAGAGCGTTACCGCTCTTGCGAGAGTCAACTCTAGCTCTGGAGCTACGGACTAGAGTTCACTCTCAACACTGTGACCACCAGGGATTACTGGTGGTTGCAGTGGTGAAAGTGAACTCTAGCCCCATAAACACACTGCCCCCTCCAACACACTGCCCCCACACACACACGCCATACACATTCACACACTGCCCCCCATACACACACACTGCCCCCACATACACCATATACATTTACACACATTGCCTCACACACATACACTGCCCACCCATATACACACAGACCCCCATACTAACATTGCCACACACATGCACAGCCCCCTCATACACACATTGCCCCACACACCCTACACATTCACACACTACACCCCCCCACACACACACACTGCACCCTTCACACATTCCACCACTGCTCCTATACACTACTACAGCCCCATATCCCAGCAGACCCCAGGTAAGTTGTCAAACTGTTCTTAAACGGTTTGACTACTTACTCTGGGAGGGGGGCCCGGCCCTCCTGGCACCATAACCACTACACAGAGCAGTAGTGGTTATTGTGCATGGATTATTTCTTTAAATAATCTACAAGTGCCCCAGTAGCCAGCCAGCCCACAGGCCGGCCAGCCAGCCAACCCACAGGCAACCCACAAGCCACCAGTTAGCCAGCCCACAGGCCTACAGCAAGCCACAGGCTTACAGCCAACAAGCCCACAGCCTGCCAGCCAGCAACAGTAATTAAGGTAAGAGGAGCCAACTTGGCCTTGGTATCAGCGAGCTATGTTGTGTTGCTATATTGTGACCTGGAGAGACCCCCTTTCAGGCCCCATTAGACTCCATTGTAGTCTCTAATGGGGCCTGGAGGAGATTCTTTCTAACACACTCTCTAAAGGACACTGAGATAGCCTCTGCTAGAATGACCCCCCCCCATGGCCCATTAGCCCTCAATTGTAGTCTCTACTGGGGCCTCGAAGGGATTATTGCACTTTTGTTCCTTGTGTCTAAAGATTGTGTAGGGTGTGGCTGGAGGCGGGACAAGGGTGGCGCTTGCTGCGGAGTATGGATGGGGCCTGTAAGGGGGCCCTTGATTTATTTTGCCCGGGGGCCCTGAGGGTTCTCAGTCCGCCCCTGGGTGAGGATATACTTTCAATATGGTCATTATATTCACTACCGGGTTATTAATGCATTACGTAACCCTGAGTGTCTGGTACAAAACTTGTGAGTTATAAAGTATATTAATATATTCCAGCAATTGCATTTTTGCCTGAAACAATTTAAACATTAACAGTTTTGAGGTGAAGGGAAAAAATTGTTTAAAAAAAAAAGAATCTTAACAGCATAAAGATATGTCATGGATACTTTATGATTTAAAACATGCCCTATTAGTAGGACCTTGCACACATACCAACAATGATTAGCAATAATTGCTGCAGTGCTAAGCTAGCCCCCTCTCTACTTGTATGCTTGTCCTTGTATACCTCCTACACAAATACCCACCCCATCTATATATTGTGTTGTGAATTAACTGCAATCACATCCATGTGAGTTTGGGCATGCAAGAATTAAAACAGTAAATGGAGTTTTCAGCTGGGGTCCTGGAAGATATTCAATACACATTTTGTGATGACAGAGTTTATAGAGTATAAACGCTAATTCAGCAACAGTCTCAGCAAAATTCATTTTTCAATACATAGCAATTCACTGTTGGTTGAATAATCCCCAAAGTATAATTAATTCAGCTTTAAATTCCTCCATAAAACAGCTTTGTGCTGTCAGCAATCTCCCTTTCTTACCTGTATAAACAAGTTATAATGCAACATCTAGCAGTCGTTTGTCTAGAAGGCAAAGAAACTCAACAAACAGGTAGTATGGGGGTAGGGCAAGATTACAAAGCTAATGACTTTAAATGAAAGGTTACCTAGGTATGAGGAAGCTCAATAGAAACTATTCAAAGCAATCGTATGACTGTACACTAACGGGGAAATTCTGTGGAACTACTGACCATGCCCATGAAAAGTAATTTGTGCTATTTGTTTTGTACTTTTTACAATTTATAAGCTGCTTCGAGAAGAAACTCCTGAGGACCGTGTTTTTTCATTTACCATTTTTATTGGATTTGGATTAGACTTTTGAAGATGCAAACTCCAGAAGCCAGGAGAGGAGTACGGACTGTTGGTCAGCTTAAGACTCGAGTGGAGGAACTTAAAAATCCGTGGAGACAAAGTTCACCTTTTGTTTTGAACTACAATGAATCTGCTCGCCTTGCCACTGATGCCCTGCTGGAACAAGGAGAAAATGGATATTTGCGGGTGCTCAGTGAAGAGAGAGAACTATCTTTCCTGTCAAGTTTGGACATAGATTTCATATGCGGAAGTGTGAATGCTAATGCACCTTCCAATGACTTTGTACTGTCTGATAAAGACAATGATAGTGCCAATTCTTCCTTCGGTGATAACTGCCTTTCTGAGCTTACATCTGGAACGTATTTTCCGATCATGTCTGATATTGATGTTCCAGCTCTGGAACTTGGTTGGCCTGAGATTCCCCTGGCTACTAGAAGCAAAGGAACAGAGGTTCAAGTTATTTTCCAAAGACACAGGTCTAATGTTATCAAGGATTTAGTAAGATCACTTATAAATAAGGCAAAATCAGTAAGTATGCAATTTCTAACATTACGGTGCCAATAACATGCTCTAATTCTTTAATACATTTAAACTGAGATAAATTGATATTTGTGTTTCCTCTGCATTATTCAAATTCATGGGGTGATGCTAATGTCCCACTTTAACTGAGTTATTCACAAAAGTAAGAATTCAAGTGACGTGAATTCAAAGTAAATTTAAAATGTAAGGCCAAAATAGCCAAACTGGGAGCATAGCCAAGCTCGATAAATTATCTAACACCTAATTCTCTTTGTCAGCTATCCACGATTTTTAATTTAGTAAATACTGATACATCATATCCTAAACAGGGTTAATTATTAAACTGTGTTTTGCTGGTAAAGCTAAGTGAATTAAAAATGTTGCACCAAATTTGAAAAAAGTCAGTTATATTTTCCTTTTGACTATTTTAGTTTAGTAAATTACCTGACAATACTTTACATGCAGCAATGCATGTGAATAAAAGCCTGAAGCAAAAGAAAGACAACTAGCAGTTGTGTAATAAAACAGAGCAAAGGCTCCATCACAGACACACAATCTAGAGTCACACACTGATATAGGCACTAACATTAGATCATTATTGTAGTGAACTGAAATCCAGATTGCAAAGTTTAGGCATACATTTCTGACTTGGAATATTGTTTAATTGTACTTTATTTATAGCCTAGCAATTTTAGCCTAAATAACTAATTTCAGTTAGGTGCATGGTGAATATACCACACAGAATAACGTAATGATGTTAACATGTAAACATACCAAGCAATACTAGGCAGGGTTATTCACTAAAGTGAGAATTGAGATTAAATTCAAATTTAATTTTAAATTTAAGATAAAAATAGCTGTAATGGAATAATTATCTAAATCACCTATGCTTTCAGTACGACTACTTTAGCCTAAAATTTGAAATTCACTTTGAATTCTCACTTTAGTGCATTAGGCTAATAGATTTTTTTTTATTTTTTTTATGAAGATCTAATGTGGGTATCTGATATCTGTGCATAATTTTTGCTTTTAGACTGATGCTTTAGATTTGCTCTTTATAGATAACCCCCAGTAATAAAAAATACAAATAAAAATACACAATACTGAAGAATACAGGTAGTTTAAACATAGACAGTTATGTTTATTATTTTACAACATATACATATACTAATACATACAAAAATAATCAGGAGGGGTAAGTGTTTACTTTTGAGGTATTTTCTGACAATCTATGCATCAAAGCCCTGCTAATTGGCGGCAACTCTACTTACTAAAGTGTTTTACTAAAACATAGATTAAAAATAACATTACAAAATAATGTCACCATTTTTGTTTAACCGAGTACAGCAAACATATGTTAAACTGTAATTTAGCAATTATGGTGTTGGCATAAAGGTTTTAGGAAAGTAACAAGGTTTTGAATTATTGTGAACAAATCAAAGCATATTATGAAGTTCTAAATATTTTAGAGCCGTCATGAGAACATATAATAAGTACACATCTCATATTATTATTATGACATTTCTTTGATAAAATATTACCATGTTATCTAGTAGGTTTGATGGAAAATGCTTTGTTTCTGTGCTGAACTGGAAAATGCCCTTTCCAATAACATTTTTTATCTATTGGCAAAAATATAAATCATAGAGACAAAAAGTGGTGCAAAGATGTTGAAGACAAGCTATTCCCATTTAAAGCAATGCAATTTTCTTGCGTATTCACTTTTTAGCATTGTGATTGACCATAGTTATGTCAGGAACACTTTAATAAAAACAAGAAAAAAATCATGCTACTGCCACTGAATTATTTTTTATTGCACCTTAAAATCTTACACAATAAAAAAGTTTCCCCAATGCTAAAAAGTATTTTACACACAAGCACACACTCATGCACACACGCAAATACAATACTACAATGCAATCTTTTAAACTTCTTTCTTTAGTGTTAGCAGCTACCACAGTGCTACAAATGAAATCAACAAATTATATGCTAATCCATTTATTTGTCTCTAAATCTTCTTTAGAGAATTTCCAAATGGCAAAATTTAATGGACATTCACAAATTGTTGCCAGATTTTGGCATTCATAGACCATTTGCATATCAACAGAAAAGCCCCAACTGTGAGGCTTTGATGTCATCAATTCAAATGACAATGATGACAATGAGAATTTGCTCTTTTACCCCAAGGTTTGGGATTGTAAGAAAAGATTTGAGACTCAAGATCCCACTCTGGGAATTTCCAAGTATACAGCATAAAATTCCTGACCTTAGAATAAAATAACTTTTATTTCACCTACTATACATTTTCCTACTTCCCAGGTGAAAATGGACAAACAAATCCGTTTCTTACTGACTAATTTTCTTTATTTACTATGAAAGTAATGCACATCTCAGAAGGTTTATGAATAATAATATCATAACATTTTCTCATAGCCTGACCTACAGCAGACAAAAAAAAAAATCTATAATACAAATACATCTTAAAGATCAACAGAACATTCATATACACAGAGGCAACAATAAATATATTATGGTTGTTCTGAGGACATTTATATACTTAGAGGGATTCCACAAGAATAGGCGTTCAGTACCACTTATAAACTGGGGGCCTACATACATTTTCCTCTCTTATTTTAGACAAACAGGGTCTCCATGATGTCATATTATTGAGAGGGACTTGACAATGAATTATAGTAAATTGCAAAAAAGTTGGTAAAAAAAAAAAGTGTTGATATGGAAACATCTCCATCTCTGTCACAGGTTGTCTGTTAACCTATATTTTTCAATTTACTACGATTTGGTGTTTAGTGAATACCCCTCAGGGTTCATGTAACATATGTGTTAGGTAGTCAGCAATTAGCTCCTACTTTGTTCTTTCTTTCTTCCTTCACCAAGTGAGGTGTTATAGTATGATAATGGGACGTGTAATCCTCTAGCACAGTCTAGTGTCTGATCAGATGGTCTCCTAATACAATGCTATTCCCAACCCATTGCATTGCTTGAGTACATATATCCCTCCATCTGTTCCCAAGTTCAAGTCACTACTGTAATGCCCTACCTGGTGTCTAAATACCATGTCTTCAGGAGACAAGGTGAGAGGCCTCTTCCTCCATACAGCACATAATACATTATTAATATTATCATCATCATCATATTTTGTAGTGTCATCCACTATAAATGCAGCCTTGGTTCCTTTGTATTTTGCATTTCCTGTTTTGGGGCAAACTACTGATAGAATAATAAAATAATTTTGAATTATATTCTTGGGTTGAGGATTCATTCGTAGTGATTCATGCTAAGTTTTCCCGTAATACATTATTTCCTTTTTTTGTGCCAAAGTCACAGTTTGCCTAATAAATGATTGACCTCACTTATTTTAAAGAATATAAATTGAGTTTGGGAACCCTTAGCCACATGGCTTATAGATTGGGTTCTATGCACTAGTAACAAGAGGAATTAGCATCCACAATCTTGTATTAGATAAATGGAGGCAAAGTACTAAGGGCTTAATTATACCATGGCCTTACTGTATAGGGGACTAGTTCCACTTTATATATAAACTCAAGGACTATGAATGTTTTTTGTCCATAGATTCATTGATTTGATTATTAAGTAGAGTGTCACACAAATTATTTTTACTACTGACGCATCAACTGAACTGCCTACACTTTATTTTTATATCATGGTGCATTAAATGTATGCAAAACATCTCAGCTGAAGAAATCTTCACAGCTCGAAGCTAAATGCCAAATTATACAATTTTATTAGACCATAACCACTACACTTGACCATTTTGTTAGACTGTCTTTGTAAAATCAGTTATGCTAAACTTTCAAAAGGAAAACTTTAAGCAGAATACCCACTACAACTCATTGTAGTGATCTTCAATGTCTATTGGTGAGACACCTGTTTTTTAGTGGAGGCGCTTGGGATGGTTTGATAAAGGCCTTAGCTCTCCTTAGTACCTATAACCTGACCCCTTATCTGCCATCTATATAAAATAAATTACTCCTTCAGACTATTACTGTCACTTCCATCCAACCAGGACAGAAGTTGAAAAGCACTGATCTAACTCACTCACAGCATTCTCCAGATACCAATAACATTTTTTAAAATGTTATAATTTATTAGAAACGTGACTGGAGAGATGGTAGACCATAAAAAATGATTGGAAATGGGGGAGGGGAGGGGCAGTACACAGAGATTCCTTGTCAACATAACCATTACATGTAGTTGTAGTGGTTATCTTTGTTAGAGTATCCTTTTTTTCTATATTTACATTTTTGAGGAAACTTTAAAGACAATGAAAAATACAACAGTAATTTATTCATCTAGCTGTTATACAAACCTGTAATATAAGTAGTGGTTTCTCTAGTAACCACCAAATAGCATAACATATTACCCCACTACTGTTTTAAGGATCCATGATTCCAAATGATGCCTTCCAAATGCACTTTTATGATAGCAAGTTTTGCCTATCACAGAGCAGTAACTAAAAACTTTCCATATTTTGTCCAGGACACTGTGATCCCTTGGTAAGTCCTGGAAGACAACATGTTTCTTATACTTCTTGCGTGCCAGAGATTTGTTCACAAAATGGGTGCAATTTTAATACTAAATTTTTATCACATTAACTAAAATGTTGGCATGTCTATACAACTTTGTTTAAAACATGTTACTGCAGACACTAAAGAACTATGTAAATTTATGTTTTCATTAATAGTGTATATATAATTAAGCATCACTCAATACAGTGCATTAATCACTATATGTAATTAATAGATTTAGAAACATATTTCAAAATATTAAAAGGGCACTCCTGGCTCCTGCACATACTATAAGTCTAAAGTGCATGTTAGTATTAGCTTACATTTAGTTATCCTGGTGGGTTTTTTGTTGTTTCATTTTTCAAATTTAAAAATGTTAAGAATGTTTCAACAAACGACTCAGAGATACAATTGCTGAGGTAAAGAATATATGTGAACCATTAGTACAGTTTTTGAACATTGGCTAACAGAGAGTTCTAAGAAATTAGTGCATTTCAGTTTACCTATTTAGCATTCCCTCATTCGTGAGCATGGAATGAGGCCTTTGCCAATGTTGGTGGGGTTCTGGCTTTCTCAGTCGTGCCATCCTAGTTTTGTTTTTTAATAACAATTTGTTTCTCTCCATTAGTCCACTTTCCTGTCCCTCCATCTCAACCTGCAGTTTTTCAAATTTTGCTTAAAGTATAATGACGTATGGGATGCAATAACGTTTATTAAGAGTTGAAGTTTTTCTTGTAGCTTTATATAGCAGAAAGCTGACAATTGTTAAGCTATGACTTAGAGAAACCATTGTTGGACCCATAAATCTTCCTGTTTATGAGATAAGCTCAGCAAGGTTCTAGAAAGTTAAAACATAGTCATATGCAAATATCCCTATAGATAACATGTCTACCTACACATTAGTGCATGGGGGGGAGATATAACTGTACTTACATAAAGATCTCCCTCATCTCACTGTAGTGAAGACTCCATTTTGCAGGATGTCCACAAATCAGCTTTCTCATTGACTTCTATTGTATTGAAATATGTTGTCAGCACTTAGGAGATAATCCCCTTAAAATATAACAAGGATACAAACATATAAAATGTATCCAAAACAACTGTACCAATAAAATACAGTATCAAAACATCAGAGTTCCAGACTGTAGCAATAAATAAAATATTAAACATAAAAGAGAAACAGATAAAAGTCCAAGAACTTGTAAGTATGTAAGATCCAAATATAGGGAAGTCCAAAATAGAATTGAGGGCACACCCTTGTACTGGAATTACCTTGAAGCAAGAAAGACAGAAAAAATATATATAGTGTAATTCTGTGATTTTAATGTCCCAGTACAAAAGAGAATCCCTCCCCCCCAAAACAGGAACTCTTACACAAATAAAATGTGGTACTTATCACTAAGGATCACACAATGAGCTTTAACGGCTGTAAATCCTCTTCCAGTCCCAAGTAAATCGTCCGGTCTTTTGGAGGAGACAGCGTCTGCCTCGTGCACTGAGGTGGGCTGTCCAAAAGATATATTTTCCGCTCCGCTGTAAATAAGTCAGGTTTGTATCAGGAACTGGATGGGCAGAAGTGTGCAGCCTCTGTGACTTTTCAACTCCGCGTCAACCAACCTCTTCTATTGTATGTTGCAAGAAAAGGCTTTCCTACTGTCCTTATTTCTTTTTCTTGTGCATATCAAACAATTGCAAGCACAACACAGGTTTTAAAAAAAATAATATATATATTTGTTAATCATATATGTGGCACAAATACTGTCACATCTATGAATTCATATGAGATAAATAGATTTGAAGTATATTCCCACTGATATTTAATTTTTTTTAGCACACCTAAGTGACTAGGAATAGGAAATTTTCAACCATGACTTTCTGTTTTACCGGGGTGTAAAAATTATACATAGGCCAAATTTCTTTAGTTTTTCATCACAATGGGTAAGACCAATGAATATAGCTGTTATGTGTGGCACAAAAGGTTGTTGAACTTCACAAAATAAGAAGTGAATATAATAAAATAGCAAAAGCATTACAAAAAGGGCAATTCTCATGATCAGGGGAATAATGAAGAAGTACCAGTCAACAGGAAATGGTATGAATCAACCTTGAAGAGGACATGTGTCTATATTGTCTCAACAGAATGTGAAGAGTATGGTTCGAGTGGGCAAGAAATATCGGGAGAATTGCAGAAGTTAGTTGCATCTTGAGGTTAGAAAGTCTACAAAGCTACAATCCGATCTCACCTACATCACCACAAGTTGTTCGGAAAGGTTTCAAGAAAAAAGCCTCAACCATGAAAAACAATCTCAAGTGTCCTTAGTTTTCTAGACACTACCGGAACTTCAGATGTGATCGATTCTATGGTCAGATGAAACAAAATAGAACTTCTTGGCAATAAACACTAAAGGCTGGTTTTGTGCGCTTATAGAGGTAGCCATATTGAAAAGTTCCTCATGCCCATGGTTAGAATTAATAAAATAGTGAGAGCACACAATACATGCAAAAAACTATATTACCAGTATCGTCCTGGGTAAATAGCTAGAACATTAAAAAAAGGAGAAGGAAAAAAAAGAACATAGGGTAATATTGTTTTAACTGTATACAATAACCATATATAATTGGTTACACTCACATGCTTCTGAGTCACTTATATAAGCTGACTCAGACTAAGGGCTTTGGTTAGAGATGAAACCTTTAATGTTGGACACCTTGTATTGATATGCAGAATGAAAGTGAGTTATCCCTGGCGATCTCTGGATGTCAAATTCAAAATATTCCAGGATACCGGATCTCATTAAAACTATTTATTTACTCAAGGTTCAAAAACAATTAAAAATCAAATACAGGTAAAATTAAGTCCATCTAAAGTACCACAACGCGTTTCGGCAGGAAAGCCTTTCTCAAGTGGTATTACAGGTCCATCTCCGAATTGCCCCTTTATACTGTGTAGGATTAGCGCTCATTCCCGTGCTCTCCGTCTCTCTTTACTTCCGCTTTCGTCATCAAGCGTCGACGGACAGGTCCCGCACGTCATGACGTCATCCTCGCATTGTATACCGGAAACACTATCAATGCCATTTTTAGTCCTCTAATTGTTCATGTTTGCCAGTTCTCTCTGGCATAATCACAAAGGAATACAAATTCTCCACACAAGGTCATCAACAGGGGAAAATAGTAAACACATAGATCAAGGAGAAATTAAAAACATTAATATATTGTTCAGCAGGAGGAAATAGCCTTAACAACACCATATACACTACTAAAACATATCTATATTAAGGTTAATAAAAAACAAGATAAACACATAAATACACACATTAAAAGTATACCCTATAAAAGTGAAAATTTTATAGATATGAATTAACCTCAAAATCTATATTAAGACCATATGGAGACAAAGTTTCCATATTAAAAATCCATTTCATTTCGGTTTTATTAAGGAGGTTTTCTATATTCCCTCCCCTCCAATGAGTTTTAACAGATTCTATCCCCATAAAATCAAAACCTTGTATGTTTCCTCCATTCTAAAAAATGTTTAGATACATTATGTAGGGTATATTTTCTATTAATATTATAAATATGTTCTCTAATTCGTATTTTAAGTTGTCTCGAGGTTCTCCCAATATATTGATATCCACAAGGGCAAATAATCATATAAATTATGTTTTTAGAATTACAGGTTATAAAAGATTTTATGTCATATAATTTCTTATTATGAGAGGAATAGAATTTACTAACATTTTTATTTTTGTGGTTTCTTGACATACAACCTTTACAGGTTCCACAATAATAAAAACCATTATCTCTTTTAAACATAGTTAGAGATTGTACATTTTTATCTTTTTCTAAAAAACTTGAGGTTAAAACTTGTTTAAAACTTTTTGCTCCTCTAAAAATAATTTTAGGTTTGGCTCCTAGATATTGTTGTATTTCCTGATCTTGTTCTAAAATATGCCATTTTTTTCTAATTATTTTTTGTAGTTGCTTACTATTTGAACTATAATTAAAAATAATAGGTATAATTGTGTTATCCTCTTTTAATCCTTTTTCTTCATATTCTAAAATATTCTCCCTAGTTTGCTGTCCAACTTCTTCTTTTATCGTTTCTAAGGTATTTTGATTATATCCTTTTTCTACTAATTGATTTATTAAAATCTGTGTCTGTTCTTCATATTGTTGAGTGTCTGTGCAATTACGTTTTACTCTTAAAAATTGTCCTTTAGGTATATTGGTTAACCATGGTCTAAAATGACAACTTTTTAAATTAATGAAACTATTTACATCTACCAATTTAAAAAAAGTTTTACTTTTGATTTGATTGTCTTCAATATAAATATTTAAATCTGAAAAATTGACACTTTGCATACTCATCTCATATGTTAAATTAATATTCCAACTATTTTGATTAAGATCATTTAAAAAACTTAAAAGGGAATCCTGGGTACCTCTCCATATTATAAAAATATCATCTATAAATCGTCTATAGAGGACCAGACTTGCCCCAACCTCTGGCCTGGAAAAAACTTTTCGTTCCTCCCAAAATGCCATAAAGAGGTTTGCATAACTTGGGGCAAATCTGGTCCCCATAGCTGTTCCCTTGGTCTGCAAATAAAAATTATTCTCAAACCAAAAGAAATTATTAAAAAGAATCATTTGAATACCCTCTATAATAAAATCTATCTGTCGAGGGTCCAGATCATTTTCTTTATTTAAAAAGTGTCTAGCAGCCTCGCAACCTCTCTCATGATCTATAATGGTATAGAGGCTGCTGACATCACAGGTAACCAAAATTAGTTCATCTTCCCATTTAAAATTATTTAAAATTTGTAAAAGTGACATCGTGTCTTTAAGATATGAGGGACATTTTTAACAAGATTCTGTAAAAATTGATCTAAAAACTGAGATAGAGGAGATAAAAGGGAACCAATTCCTGAAATTATTGGTCTGCCTGGGGGTTTATTTATATATTTGTGTACTTTAGGCAGAACATATAATACAGGAATCTTAGGAAATTTTACATTAAGAAAATCATATTCTTTTTTTATTTAATATCTATGCTTCAAATCCCCGTTCTAAATATTTATTTAATTTCTTTTTTATATCTTCCAGAGGATTTTTAGGTAGTAATAAGTAAGTTTCTTGATCTTTTAATTGATCAAAAATTACTTTTAGATATTTTTCTCTTTGCCATATCACTACCCCCCCCCCCCCCATCTGCTGGTTTAATAACAATAGTAGAATCTTTTTTTAAATCTTGTAGTGCTTTTCTTTCGGATATAGTCAAATTCTTTTGTTGTTCTTTTGTACAAACTTTTTCAAAGATTTTAATAGCATCTGATTTAAGATAGCTTGGGAAGAACGTAGACTTATTTTTAAGATTAGTATGTTTAAATTTTTCTTCTTTGTCTACAACCTTTTCTGGTGTCTTACTATGAAGTTTCTGATTAAAAAACTTTTTTAAGCACATTTTGGTTACCTGTGATGTCAGCAGCCTATATACCATTATAGATCATGAGAGAGGTTGCGAGGCTGCTAGACACTTTTTAAATAAAGAAAATGATTTGGACCCTCGACAGATAGATTTTATTATAGAGGGTATTCAAATGATTCTTTTTAATAATTTCTTTTGGTTTGAGAATAATTTTTATTTGCAGACCAAGGGAACAGCTATGGGGACCAGATTTGCCCCAAGTTATGCAAACCTCTTTATGGCATTTTGGAAGGAACGAAAAGTTTTTTCCAGGCCAGAGGTTGGGGCAAGTCTGGTCCTCTATAGACGATATATAGATGATATTTTTATAATATGGAGAGGTACCCAGGATTCCCTTTTAAGTTTTTTAAATGATCTTAATCAAAATAGTTGGAATATTAATTTAACATTTGAGATGAGTACGCAAAGTGTCAATTTTTTAGATTTAAATATTTATATTGAAGACAATCAAATCAAAAGTAAAACTTTTTTTAAATTGGTAGATGTAAATAGTTTCATTAATTTAAAAAGTTGTCATTTTAGACCATGGTTAACCAATATACCTAAAGGACAATTTTTAAGAGTAAAACGTAATTGCACAGACACTCAACAATATGAAGAACAGACACAGATTTTAATAAATCAATTAGTAGAAAAAGGATATAATCAAAATACCTTAGAAACGATAAAAGAAGAAGTTGGACAGCAAACAAGGGAGAATATTTTAGAATATAAAGAAAAAGGATTAAAAGAGGATAACACAATTATACCTATTATTTTTAATTATAGTTCAAATAGTAAGCAACTACAAAAAATAATTAGAAAAAATTGGCATATTTTAGAACAAGATCAGGAAATACAACAATATCTAGGAGCCAAACCTAAAATTATTTTTAGAGGAGCAAAAAGTTTTAAACAAGTTTTAACCTCAAGTTTTTTAGAAAAAGATAAAAATTTACAATCTCTAGCTATGTTTAAAAGAGATAATGGTTTTTATTATTGTGGAACCTGAAAAGGTTGTATGTCAAGAAACCACAAAAATAAAAATGTTAGTAAATTCTATTCCTCTCATAATAAGAAATTATATGACATAAAATCTTTTATAACCTGTAATTCTAAAAACATAATTTATATGATTATTTGCCCTTGTGGATATCAATATATTGGAAGAACCTCGAGACAACTTAAAATACGAATTAGAGAACATATTTATAATATTAATAGAAAATATACCCTACATAATGTATCTAAACATTTTTTAGAAGTCCATGGTGGAAACATACAAGGTTTTGATTTTATGGGGATAGAATCTGTTAAAACTCATTGGAGGGGAGGGAATATAGAAAACCTCCTTAATAAAACCGAAATGAAATGGATTTTTAATATGGAAACTTTGTCCCCATATGGTCTTAATATAGATTTTGAGGTTAATTCATATCTATAAAATTTTCACTTTTATAGGGTATACTTTTAATGTGTGTATTTATGTGTTTATCTTGTTTTTTATTAACCTTAATATAGATATGTTTTAGTAGTGTATATGGTGTTGTTAAGGCTATTTCCTCCTGCTGAACAATATATTAATGTTTTTAATTTCTCCTTGATCTATGTGTTTACTATTTTCCCCTGTTGATGACCTTGTGTGGAGAATTTGTATTCCTTTGTGATTATGCCAGAGAGAACTGGCAAACATGAACAATTAGAGGACTAAAAATGGCATTGATAGTGTTTCCGGTATACAATGCCAGGATGACGTCATGACGTGCGGGACACGTCCGTCGACGCTTGATGACGAAAGCGGAAGTAAAGAGAGACGGAGAGCGCGGGAATGAGTGCTAATCCTACACAGTATAAAGGGGCAATTCGGAGATGGACCTGTAATACCACTTGAGAAAGGCTTTCCTGCCGAAACGCGTCGTGGTACTTTAGATGGACTTAATTTTACCTGTATTTGATTTTTAATTGTTTTTGAACCTTGAGTAAATAAATGGTTTTAATGAGATCCGGTATCCTGGAATATTTTGAATTTGACATCCAGAGATCGCCAGGGATAACTCACTTTCATTCTGCATATCAATACAAGGTGTCCAGCATTAAAGGTTTCATCTCTAACCAAAGCCCTTAGTCTGAGTCAGCTTATATAAGTGACTCAGAAGCATGTGAGTGTAACCAATTATATATGGTTATTGTATACAGTTAAAACAATATTACCCTATGTTCTTCTTTTTTTTTTTTTCTCCTTTTTTAAATGTTCTAGCTATTTACCCAGGACGATACTGGTAATATAGTTTTTTGCATGTATTGTGTGCTCTCACTATTTTAATATTTCTTATGCACTTTGATTCTGTGTGGTTGAGTGATTCACACTTAGTGATAGTAGCACCATTTTTTACTGTTTTTCCCATATTTCTAATATCCCATGGTTAGAATGGTGATGGCTCTTTTGAGGTTGTGTTTCTACCAGAGGATCTTGGATACATTGCATCATAGACCATTTAAAATAACAGAGATTAAATGAACACCTGACTGCCTCTGCAGAAAGCTTAAAATGTGCCGTGGTTGGATCTTCCAACAGGACTATGATCCAAAACATATATCAAAATCAACACTAAAATGGTTTACTGACCACAAAATAAAGATCCTGCCCTGGTCATTCCAACCATCTGACTTGAACCCCATAGAAAATCTGTGAAATGACGAGGAGAGTCCACCAGCGTAAACCACAAAGTTTGAAGGATCTGGAGAGATTCTATGCAGAAGAATGGTCTCAGATCCCTTGCCATGTATTCTCTAATCTCATAGGGCATTATAGGAGTGCCAGGAATGCCAATATTAGTAAAGGGGCACTATATACCTTTTACATAAAATGTACTTATTCATATATCAATATAATGCACTAAAAAATAATGGGTTAACTGTAGCCTGCAGTCTCATTTAACCCATTCACATTGTTCCATTAAAAAAAACAAAAAAACAAGCTCTAATCTTGTGATTTGTCAAATACAGATTTTTCTTAATTTAACTGCTTGCTTTTTGATTAATGTTTATAATTCCATTTTAATGTTTATAACTCTATTCTATTTTAAATATACATTATTGACATTGTGTAAGAAGACTCATATGTCGGAAACTTGAGTGTCTCCTGACATTTTACATTTTTTTTAGAGTTTTCCAACACACTGTCCTATACTAAGATGTCAGACTCTTTTTAGCAAGGTTTGACAACTCAGTTGGATCATTCTCTCCATCCAGTCTTCTCCAGGAGAGGATCTCCATGCAGGACTGTGCTTACTGGCTAAGAGCATCAGCTGAGCACTGTCTGCCAATGAGCAATGTCCTGCATCTGCTCTGCTTTCATCTATAGACAAATCCAACTTCTCCTTTAGGAGAAGACCATATCTGACATAAACCCAAGTAAGCTGCCAAACTGTGCTATAACACAGCCAAGACATTTCTTCGACAGGCTGTTGTGATTATAATGATTGGAGTGTTCTTTTAAAGAAAACTGCCATTGAGTCATTTGTTTTTAAAGTAATGGATAAAGAGAAGCCTAATCAGGAGTCTTGTATTGGTTTAATATAAAAATGAAGACATCTCAATACATTAGTAGTGAAAAATCTTTGATGTGAAACAGAGCAACATCCACAGAGGTTTTTATAGGTGCAGGTATGTGTAAGGTAGTTTGTACTCTGTCCATTAAAGCGGATATATGTGCAAATCTGCATCCCTCTATTATACTGCTTCGTTATGGTTTCAGTATTTCATTTTTTTAAATCAGAGAATCAAAAATACGGTAAATAGTTAAAAATGTTTTAGTCACTGTGTAGTATATTTTATATTCCTTAATATAACATTGTTACCATATGTGTTGGCCCCCTTTAGGTTAGGAAAGACTCACTTCCTGTTCACAGTTCACACTACCAATATCTTGATGACAGAGTGGCAAGTGTTATTATTATGGACAAGTGGTTACCCAGAGGAACTAAGATCCAAGCATTATTTTATTGTTCTTTGTACTGCAATACAGTAACGTTTGTTTTTGATTTGAGATAAAATCAGTGCTGTAACTGCACAATTACATTTGTATACTTGTATGCTGGTTTACGTAAGGATTTTATGTCCTTTTCATTTTAGAATCTAGATGTTTGTGTTTATCATAATAATTGCAAACATTTATGTAAACTGGAGCAATATCCAAAAATTAGTGCAGAGAAAGATCAAGATCCCACAGGGCCAAAGCCAGGTTACAGGTTTGAGCCTTCCTTTTAATTCTCCACGCAAGATTTGTGAATAGAAACAACCAAATTCATGGTTCTGAGGACTCTGTCTAAACATTGGGCCCTATGCAGCAACCCAAAGTCACCTTGTGGTTAAAGTTCTACTCTAAACCCCAAAACAACTGATATGACACAGATGTGAAAACCCATTTCAGGTGTCCGGCCTCCTTTGTTCCCCATGAAAAAGGTATTTTACTCACCTTGATCTAAGCCAATCCAATGCTTTTCTATTGGAGGCTAGTGGGCAAGTATGGCAAAATACATAGAAATGCATTGAATCAGTGCATCTCTATGAGGAACGTTCAGTGTATCCATTTGGCTCACATTGTGCATCACTGGCCATGGAAGCACCTCTAGTGGCCGTCAGTGGCCACTAGACGTTTTCCTAGGTAGCACTGTAAACACTGCCTTTTCTCTGAAATTTAAACAACCACAGGAGGCTCCTGCAAGCTCTAGCAGGTTATTAACAGAGCAGGATTTAAGACATTCTAAATTACCTTGTATTCAGTATATCTTATGTCTCTTGATGTATTTCACATTTACTCAGTGTCCTGTGTTCACATATATGTTTAATTGTTTGTGGATTGAGAATCTGTTTACCTCTTTTTATCTTTTGCACCCTTTCCCATTGTTATTTGTTCCTTAAAATTTTGAAATTTTTTTCTAAATTAAACAGACTGTGCAATAAAGAAAGTTTAAAGGAACACTATAGGGTCAGGAACACAAACATGTATTTATTCCTGACCCTATAGAGTTAAAACCACAATCTAGCCCCCCTGGGCCCCTCATGCCTCCAGAAATATAGCAAAATCTTACTGTATTCAAACCATAAGCTGTAACTCTGCATGCGGTTTGAGCACGACCTCGCCAATATTGCGAGCTTACCTGCTCGCTGGCGACCCGAGAACCGCTCCTCCGCGTCTTCTGGGTGTTGAGCCCAAATCAAAGATGGTGCTGACCACGTGGTCACACACCACAAGCTCCGCCCCTCAAATTTATACGGACGTGCGCATGATGCCACAACGTCAATGCACATGCACGTTCTGGGGTCAGAGCTCACTCTCTGACCAATCAGAGCCCATAGAGGGATATTTAAATCCCTAGTTCACTCCAGTTCCTGGCCCTGTCGTGGTTTCCTGTTCCTGGTTCCCAAGAGTGCGTTTATCTTTGTGAATATTACTTCCTGGTATCCTGATCTTGGCTTTTTCCTGGTTATTCCGAATTCTGATTCCCCTGACTTGGCTTGTTTTAACGGTATCTGAGTATTTCTGGCTTCCTTGACCTCGGCTTTCCCTTTGACCATTCTCTATCTCTAGCGTATTAGTCCGGCCATTCTAAGGTCCGGTTTACGCTCTGTCATTTTATTTCCTTTCCTTTTCTATGTATATGTTTACATAGTTTCTGTGTGTTGGACCACACTAGCAACTGTGACAGCCTGATCCAATCACAATGCTTCCACATAGGATTGGCTGAGACTGACAAGGAGGCAGATCAGGGGCAGAGCCGCCATGATTCTAACACAGACCTGGCAAATCAGCATCTCCTCATAGAGATGAATTGAATCAATGAATCTCTATGAGGAAAGTTCAGTGTCTGCATGCAGAGGGAGGAGATACTGAATGTTTGGATGCATTTTAGGCAGCCATGACCCAGGAAGGATCTCTAACAGCCATCTGAGGAGTGGCCAGTGACGTTATCACTAGGCTGTAATGTAAACACTGCATTTTCTCTGAAAAGACGGTGTTTACAGCAAAAAAAGCCTGAAGGTAATGATTCTACTCACCAGAACAAATTCAATAAGCTGTAGTTGTTCTGGTGACTATAGTGTCCCTTTAAATCTTATGCAGTCTATTAAGGTGTCATTCAGATTGTGAATCTGAGGCCATTGGATTGCATTGAAGCTCTTTGATTCTACAGGAAACATTCAATCAGATTTTTAAACATTGAGTTTGGTGTAATTTCAAAAACTATAAAACATTTTTTGAAAACAGTTTAGCTTAGTCTGTGTGATTTTAAGTAATTCTTTAACTTCATTTTAAATTAAAAACTATTCAGAGTTTGACAAATGTTTGACAACAGTTGGAAGAAAAAGTCCAGGTGAACTCTATTACCACGATAATACACGATAATGTTTTATTTATGTGATACTATGTAATAATTATTATTATTATTATTTAATTTCATTAAGTGTAAATGTATTATATTGAATTATCATATAATTAGAATTATTATAATTATAATCGTATAATAACAATGTAAAATTCTGGCAAAATACTACCTAATACAACAATACATGAATGCATGACTGTTCATAGAAAATATGCTTAAAAAGGTAGTATGTGAGATTGAATATTATAACATATCATTACAAACCAAGATGATGAATTGTCATAATCTCTCTATTCCCAGGTAATAGCAATAGTAATGGATATGTTCACAGATGTGGAAATTTTATGTGATCTTATCGAAGCAGCCACCAAACGACGTGTCCCTGTCTACATATTACTGGACGAAAAAAACATCATATATTTTATAGAAATGTATGAAAAGTTGGGCTTCAACAAAATTCACATCTCAGTAAGTTTCACCTTTAAATCAAATATAATTATTGCATGTTTTTCTGATATGCTGCCAAGTTTAAAACTGCTCTGATAATTTTTGCTTTTGAAAAATAGTATAGTAGTATATAGTTACTCACCATTGTACAAACAATGCTTCATACAGCTAAAATGAATAGATGATACTTTAGATCAATACTTTGTAAAGGAATAGTTTAACCCCAAAGTTGCAAAGATGGCACACGTCCACTCTGCCCACTGGTTTCTGGCGATTGTCCACCACTTAAAATAGGAAGCCACGTACAGGACGACACTGATAGACTAAAAGTGTCAGCTGACACTATGGGCCTATTGCTAGCACCTCATTCACAAAACTATGTACCTTTTAGTGTAGTCTCAGACCATTGCAGGAAACCAATGGGGCAGAGCAGATGACCAATCAGGACCTCCCAGTATTATAACAACAGAATGCAGAAAGTTGTCATTAGTGGTAAATGTTCAAGCTGGACAAAAGTGGTAAGGCTTCTGTTCCATAACCACTTCTATTCAATCTATTTATAAATGCCCTTGAAATAGACATTGAAGGTCATGTGTCAGTGTTTGCAGATGTCATAAAACTACAATTTTGGGCCCAAATTCCTCTGACCTTTTTTCTATTCAAATATCCCTCTTTTCTATAAGCTTTATATTGTTGGTATGACTGAGTATATAACAGAGCTCCACATCAATAATACTCACAGTGATGCGTATTTAAACTATTATAAATGTGTTTAGAAATCAGTCTTGTAAACAAAATACATTGTTCTTACTCTCAATTACATTTTAGGTGCATAAGTTGTGTCACGGTAGCAGGGTCGCTTAGTGTCCCTTGGTGACCGCTTCTCTAATCCTCTGATAGTCCTGGATACAGTTACAGCATTCAGAAATTATAAATGCATTTTGTAACTTGTAGCATTTACCTAAACTAACATAGTGGACGAGATCAGTCGTGTTAGGTAAAACAAGTGAACGGTTTATTTCAGAGAAAACTACATGCATTTATCCATCTACACACATCAGGAGTCTTCAGCCAGAACAATACAAACCACTCCCTGGTGTCTGGTGCTGAGGGATTGCCTCCGAAGCAGAGCCATCTCTCTGATGCTCTGCACAGGAACTCTACCTAAGATAAGGATGCTGCACAATCACTAGCTTGATCCATATCCACGGTTATACTACCAGTGGCTTCAGCTAGGCTTTTGGCAAGTTACATAGAAACATAGAACCATTCGGCCCATTTAGTCTGCCCAATTTTCTAAATACTTTCATTAGTCTCTGGATTTATCTTATAGCTAGGATAGCCTTATGCATATCCCACGCATGCTTAAAATCCTTCACTGTGTTAACCTATGCAACTTCAGCTGGAAGGCTATTCCATGCATCCACTATCCTCTCAGTAAAGTAATGCTTCCTGATATTATATTTAAACCTTTGCCCCTCTAATTTAAGACTATGTCCTCTTGTTGTGGTAGTTTGTCTTCTTTGAAATATAGTCTCCTCTTTTACTGTGTTCATTCCCTTTATGTATTCAAATGTTTCTATCATTTCCCCCCGTCTCGTCTTTCCTCAAAGCTATACGTTTAGATAATTTAACCTTTCCTTGTAAAAGTTCTTTGACTCGCTCTTTCTCCACCTCAGGTGATGGGTTTGGGCCATAGAAAGCCAGGCGTTTTCTTACTCTCTGTGAGAGCACATCCTCTCCTGTCTGTGCTGAGAACGGTGATTCGCTGGGAGGGCTGGCTAGACTTTCCTGGTCCAAATCTACCAGTGAGCGAGTAGCTCCCGTAGGACTAGGATGGTCAGGTACCTATAGTTGTCTGCCATCCTTGTTGCTCTCCTTTCTGCTAAACATCCGTTTGGACTGCTTTTCACGGAGGATCACAGTTCTTGACACCAGTGCCACAGGAAGCAGGGCCTCTTAGTGTCCCTTGGTCACTGCTTCTCTAATCCTCCGCTAGTCCTGGATACAGTTACCGCATACAGAGATTATAGCTACAGGAGACAGTAATTTTAGTAACTACTCTCTACACACTAAATGGTAGTGAGTTAGGGAAAGCAAAACATGAGAAGGATTAGGGAATAGTAATAAAGAACAAACTAGGCAACAATGTTTAAAGTCAGTCAGCAGTTTCTAAGGCCAGTAAGGTATTGCCATGCATAAAAAGAGGCATTTGTTCTTGGGACAAAAAATATTTAAATTTGCCTTTTCATATATCAATTTTAAGTTCACACCTTGAATATGCTGTGCAATTTTCGGCATCTATTCTAAAGAATGAAACTATGGCATGAGCAGGGCCGGTGCAAGGATTTTTGCCACTCTAGGCAAACAAAAAGTTGCCGCCCCCCATATGCCCTGCCCACCATGTGACATCACAATGCCCCACCCATATGATCTGCTATATGAGTCAACGCCAGTGCTGCACATAGTGTATTTTCTCTGAAAAGGCAGTGTGCTTACATTAAAAAGCCTGCAGGGACAGGCTATAGACACCAGAACCACTACATTAAGCTGTAGTGGTTCTGGTGACTATAGTGTCCCTTTAATATGAGGTAAATTAGAGATTAGTGTCACTAATAATATACTGGATTGCCTACTTACCACCAGATGAGGACAAGAGGATGATGATGGGCTCAGGCTGCAGTCTGGCTCCACTTGTCTGGTGTTAAAACAGGCTCACAAAAATCAACGAACAGGAAGCAGCTCCATTTTTTTGGGCCCCTTACACAGATCATGGTCTGGGCCCCCAGGGCCTGACTGTGAGTATGCCTACAAGGCTCGCCCATAAGCCTTATGCCTACAAGGCCCACCCATGAGTTCGCTTACAGGGAGTGGAATGTATGTGTGTAGGGGATGTGTTATTGTAGAGGATGTAATGTGTGTGTGTTCTTTTGGAATGTAGTGTATAGGGATACCAGTTTGTGTAAGGGATGTAGTGTGTGTGTGTGTGTATAGGGGATGCAGTGTGTATGTGTGAGTGTGTAAGGGATGCATTGTGTGAATCTGTGTTTGTATGTGTAAGGGATGCAAGGTGTGTTTCTGTGTATGTAATGTAATGCAGTGTGTGTGTCTGTAATGGGTGCATAGAGTGTGTGTAAGAGATGCATTAAGAGAAGCAGAGTGTGTGTGTAAGGGATGCACTGCGTACTTCTGTGTATGTGTGCAAGGGCTGCATTGTGTGTGTGTAATGGATGCATTGTGTGTTTATGTGTGTGTGTAAGGGAAGCATGGTGTGTTTCTGTGAAGGATGCATTGTATGTTTTGGTGTGTCTGTATGTGAGTAGGGATGCATTCTGTGCATGTGTGTGTAGGCATGCATTGGGTGTTTCTGTGTATGTGTAATGATGCATTGTGTGTGTGTAGTGTGAAAGAGAGGGTTTATGGGGTAGGATAGGGGCTGAGAGGGGAGCAGCTCTTTAATTTTATTATTATTTATTTTGTTGTTAAAAAAAAGTTTGGTATATTGTTTCTTTACGTTTTGTGTCTTATGCCCCCCTTTACTGTATCTTTTACAAGCCCAGTGTCTGTCTCTTATCCCCCCTCTTTGTATGTCTCCTAAATCCTCCCAAGCCTCTTTGTGTCTTACTCTTACCAGCTCCTTGGTGTGTCTCTTTCCCCCCCAGGCCCCTCTGTGTGTCTCCCTCACAAGCAACTCTGTGTGTGTCTCTCCTGAGCCCCTCTGTGTGTCTCTGTCTCCCCTACTAGCCCTTCTGTGCTTCTTTTTCAGCCCTTCCTCAGCCTCTCTGTGTGTCTCACACTTCCCTGTCCCTTAGAGGTCTCCCCTCCTGTCCCTCAGTATTGTCACCTTCCCTCCTGCCCCTTAGTGCTCTCCCCTCCCCTCCTGCCCCTTAGTGCTCTCCCCTCGTCCCTTAGTGATCTCCCCTGCCCTCCCTGTCCCTTAGTGCTCTCCACTGCCCTCCTGTCCCTTAGTGATCTCCTCTCCCCTGCTCCCCCTGACCCTAAGTGCTCTCCCCTGCCCCCCCATCTTTATCTTAGTGGTCTCTCCTCCCCCCACCATCTCTCCCTTAGTGGTCTCTCCCCATCCTTTCCTTACAGTTCTCCCCCCTCATCTTTCTCTTAGTGGTCTCTCCTCCCCCCCACCACCTTTCTCATAGTGGTCTCTCCTCCCCCATATTTCCTTAGTGGTCTCTCCTCCCTCCCCTTATTTCCCTTAGTGGTCTCTCCTTCCTCCCATCTTTTCCTTAGTGGTCTCGCCTCCCCACCACCATCTTTCCCTTGGTGGTCTCTCCCCATCTTTTCCTTAGTAGTCTCTCCCCTCCCATCTTTTCTTAGTGGTCTCGCCCTCCTCATCTTTCCCTTAGTGGTCTCTTCTCCCTCCCTCCATCTTTCCCTTAGTGGTCTCTCCCCCCTCTCACCTTTCCCTTAGTGGTCTCTACACTTCCCCCTTAGTGCTGTCCCCCCTCCCTTCCCTTGCGTCAGCCCTGGGCACTAGAAAAAATGCAGAGGCTACAAAATAATAAGGGAAATGGAAGATTTTAGTTATCCGGGAAGGCTAACAAATGTAAATCAGTTGTTTTGAAAAACTGCACCTCAGAGAGATATAATAACAATATTATACAAATATATTCAAGGCAATAGAAACCATTGAATGGAAATCTATTCAGAAAGAGGATTATGCATAGAAAAACAAGATCACAAAATGTGAAAAAAAAAAAAAAGGCCGCGGGTGGCGAATGAGCTCAGCTCCCTCGCGCACACAGCAGTGATGCCGAAGCCGGAATATGACGTCACTCCGGTTCCGGCATCACTAGAAGGCGCGTGAGGGAGCTGAGCAGGGAGATCACAGCTCACTGCTCCCTCGCCACCTGCATGCACCGCTCACCTGTGTGCCAGACCTCCCGACCGCCAAGCTGGAGCCAGCCCCACTGGACCACAGGGACTTCATGCCAGCAGCCCCACTGGACCCCAGGGACTCTATGCCAGCTCTCCTAAACGTAGGGGGGCTGGGTGGAGTAAAATGTAAAAAATAAAAAATTGTATGTGTGTCTGTTAGAGAGTTTATATGTGTTTGTGTGTTTGTCAGTGAGAGTGTATGTATGCATGTCAAAGAGCGAGTGTGTCTGTCAAAGAGTGTGTGTGTCAGTGTGTGTATCTGTGTCAAAGTTTGTGTATGTGTCACTGTGTGCATCTAAGTGTGTGTGCGTATGTGCCAGTATGTATCAGTGTGTTTATATGTGCCTGTGTGTGTGTATCTGAGTGTGCCAGTGTGTATCTGTGTGTCAGATTCATACACACTGGCACATACAAACCCAAATACACACACCTTGACACACAGATACACACACCACACACACAGATACACACTGTGTGTATCTGTGTCAGTGTGTGTATCTGTGTGCCACTATCTGCCAGTGTCTGTATCTGTGTGTCAGATTCATACACACTGGCACATATAAACACACACCTTGACACACAGATACACACCACACACACACAGATACACACTGTGTGCCAAGGTGTGTGTATCGGGCAATGTGTGCATCTGTGTGCCACTATCTGCCAGTGTGTGTATCTATTTGTCAGATTCATACAACTGGCACATACAAGCACGGGGGGTGGGGATATTTCACGATGTTGATACACTATGTCAAAGTGTTAGTTGGGAAACCCTGTACTAGAGCATTGAATGGAAGAATTAGATTCTGTCCCCCATCTCCCCTAAAATAAAAAATGTCTGACAAACGTTTGACAACCAAGAGGGTACAAACCAGAAGCTTTATAAAAATTTACCTTAAAATCGTCACTTTTATACAGTAAGACAAGGGGAACACTCTGTTAACCCCCAAAGTGTTTCAGCAATCTGAAGTGATTTAGCTGTTTGTATATTTAAAATAATTTTCCATCAAGTACAACAGGTACTCTTTCCCCAGTCATTCTGCTCTTACCTAAATTTTTGAAAATTTTAACCATAAGGGACAATACATTATTCAATGAGTTGTGCCACGTAGATGGCAGACTTGCAAAATGTAGATCAAATTAGACAATGTGTAAACATTTTTTTTATCCAACTCAACTATTGTTTACTGATTTTATTGGCCATTTTATATTTTTCTCAAAAAAGGCTCTGGAGTATGTGTATCTTTTACTATTCAGATTGTATTCTTTGCATATAGCTCTTTCTTCTTCTTAATACTTTTTCCTCTCTTTGAGTAATGAACATACAGCACTTTTGTTTTATATACTGTTCAGCGTCAGAAGGGTGTGGTGTTTTTGGCTTCATTGTAAATATCTACTTGTCAATTAGTATTAGCTCTGCCTAATTAATTTATATTCTATAACGGACATTAATTAAAGTACTTACTGGGGTGGGCATAATCCAGTACTTAAATGATAAAATAAAATATGGAATTGTCACCTGAATTGAAAGTAAAATGAATCATTACATTAAAACTATTTCAATATGTAATGTATTTAGGCTACCAGGTTTCCTTAGTGAGCACTTATGTTTTCTCTTCGATTATGGGTTTTTTCTTCAGGAGAAGTTGGATGGCTCTTTTCAGGGTAAGCATGGCCGACAAAGGACCATGCTCATAGCCCGATAGTCTTCGGCTAATGCTCTCAGCCATTGAGCATGGTTGTGCGTCGCCCTGCTTTGCTCAGTGGAGCAAACAGAATTCTCCTGCAATGAGAATCTGAAATCAGCGGCTGGAGGAGTGGGCTAAAATTGTTAGACAAACGACACTGGGATGGTGCCATTACAGTGCTTAGAATGTTTCTCTAATGAGATTGCTTAAAGGACCACTATAGTGCCAGGAAAACATGCCCCCACCCTTAGGGACCCCCTCCCGCCCGGCTCTGGAAAGGGGAAAGGGATTAAAACTTACCTTTCTCCAGCACCGGGCGGGGAGCTCTCCTCCTCCGATCCTCCTCCTCTCCGCCCATTCGGCTGAATGCGCACGCGCGGCAAGAGCTGCGCGCGCATTCAGCAGGTCACATAGGAAAGCATTTACAATGCTTTCCTATGGACGCTTGCGTGCTCTCACTGTGATTTTCACAGTGAGAATCACGCAAGCGCCTCTAGCGGCTGTCAATGAGACAGCCACTAGAGGAGAAGGCTTAACCCATTCATAAACATAGCAGTTTCTCTGAAACTGCTATGTTTATAAAAAAAATGGGTTAACCCTAGCTGGACCTGGCACCCAGACCACTTCATTAAGCTGAAGTGGTCTGGGTGCCTAGAGTGGTCCTTTAAGGTCTAGGTTAAGCTTTCTGATAACACAAGTTGACAAAACTCCATTGTTCCATCTTTCACAGTGTTTTGTGAGAATTAGCAGAATTTAACATTCTGATAAGCATGTAGAGCAGAATGTATGAAAAATTATTTCAATATTTAGAGATATTGTTCCAAGTAAAATTAGTTTCTTACAGTGATACCGATTTATTATTTTTTATATGCTAAATGGTGACTTGATTAGGTTTACCTGCTTGTTAAAACAAACAGTCAACCAGTATATCAACTTTTGTAAATCAACATTTAAAGCATGTAAACATGGTCAAGAGTTGCAATTATTTTTCAGTCAATTATTCGGCCAGATCTTTGACTGTGTTTTGATTGTTGGTGTCACATGTGTCCCCTCAAAACACTGCTGACAAACAAATGTATGCTGAAGGGCTTCTGTCAACGAAGTATGCATGTAAACTTCATCCAGCTGTATGGCCACATTGCGTTCCAGGTACTGTCAGCTAAGAATTGGGAAGATGAAACTTATTAAGGGCACATGGTCACACAAACCAGGACACCTTATGTTGGGAAAGAGTCAACTTAGTCTCACAAACCAGAATTATGTGGTGATTTGCAGACAAAAGTGTAATGGTTTGCAGCAGGATTCATGGAAGAGCTCCTGTCGGTGAGAAACATGCAAAGAGGAAGAATCCATAAGGGGTTAACAAACTTTTTATCATAAACAAACAAGAAATATTCAGCAATACAGCAACTGAGTCTAAACAGTAAATAAAGCGATATCAGGAGAACAGTTTGATCCAGATCATAAACAAAGCAGATTACCATAATAATTCAGGAGACATTGTATGGATGCTAAAAGAGAATGATTTGAATATCAAGGCCTATGAATTCCTGGCAGTATTCCACTTGGAATGACCATGATGTATCTTCCAAACTTCTTCTTGGCCTGAAGGACAGGGAGGTTCACATAATATTGTAAACTGTGTGCATCCAAACATCTAGTCCAGTCTTACGTCCGTGGTACAGAACGGTGGTCATAATGCAAATAAGGCCATACTTTGTTCCTAATAAAGTGGTCCCATGTCAGACGTGTACATATTTTGAATGGAAATTTGTTTTGGTTTTTATACTTTGAAAATTACAAACTTTTATTTCAAATATTTTCCAATATTTTCCAAAATAAAATTTTCACCTTAGATTTTCTTTCTTTATAATGTGTATGTAGTTCTTGTTCAAGTATGTATAGAAGCTAATAGCCTTCCTCTACTCAATTACCTTAGACATCAGGCCACAGCCATTAAAAAAAAAAAATTGTTCCAGTTCTAAAGCCAACACAAGTCAAGGTGTTTCTTTAGAGATTCAGATAAATTGAAATAGGTCTATTTTAAGCATTCATCTAACCACACCTATGTTATACACTCTACAGATCCTGCCAGGCTAGCTACTCATATTATGCACAATCAGTGCTTCTGAATAATACGGAGATACACTGAATTGTGATGTATAAACATTCAGGCAGTTTCTTTTATTATGTTAAAGCAATATGCTATTGTCCTGTAAAAATAAAAGTTTTGCGGGAGCAGAGGCAAAAATCTACAGTAGGGAGTAAGTGCATGGTCATTTCTTCAAGCTGAAAAAAATTCTCTTGAGGTATACCTGCCCAAGAAGTGTTGGCACACTTTCTATTTTATATATAGAATTTTAAAACTCAAGATCTAACTGCAGAGTCCAGCCATGATTTGGGACTACTTTGTCTTCGTATTTCTCCTACACCTGACACTTCTAAACACTGGGCGGAGCTACCACCATCTACAAGTGTCAATTGCACCAACTTTTGTGGGATCCTCAATAGACCTCAATGCTGTAAGAGTACAGTAGTGATGTTGGCTCCTGACCAGCCTGAAGATGATGACGGGGGCCGCGAGGGACAAATTCAGGTAACTAAAACTCACCTTTGCAATCCCCTCCTGTCCACCAGACTCCCAGTGCTGATGTCATCAGCATGGCAATTGCTACACCCTGTTAATCCACCGTTTCCTATAAAGAAGCATTGAATCCTAAATTGCTCTTTGAGAAGCATTAACAGTGTTTGGCGCAGCATGATTACACAACAGGTTCTGTGTGTTTACCTACTGCATATGTATCTTCTGGTCACTGCCACATC